ACAGCGTCTTAGATGAGAGGCCTTGACTTCACTGAGAGTGCTTCCACTCTGTCCGCCTTCAGCCAGCTGTGAGGAGTAGTTTTGAAATAGCCAGGCTGAGATCCTCCAACTGACACTTTGATCTCTTATCCTGGATCTTTTGCTTTGAGAGCATTCTTAAGGCTCCAGTAGTCTTTCAGTGGAGTTCTTCAAAGTGTTTTTGAATTTAAGAGCAGACAAGACGTATAGATTTTTTTTTCCTGTTCTGGGGCCTCATTTCTGCTAGCAAAGTGCTCTACTACTGAGCTACACACCCAGTCCAAAAGGGTCTAAATTTTAAACTCAACATGAAATCACACAATTTTCTGATAAATACATTGTTTTCTTTCTGGTTATGTGTATTTATATATTATTTAATAAGCATTAAATATTCAAATATTTGAGTCAGCTAAAATAGCCTGTGGTACTTAAATTTGAGCTTTGAAAATATGCTCCCATTCTTCCTTTTTTCTTTTAAAAAATTCATTCCATTCAAAAACTACCATACTGAGTATCTACTCTATGCCTGGCACAGTTCTATATCTAGGGATATAGCATTTGAGCCAAAGTTTTTGCTCTAGGGGAAATTTACAGTTTGATGGGGTAGATAGACACAGTGGAGAAGGAAATGCATTATATAATGTCAGGTTAAAGGAGTACTGTAACAAAAATAGAACAGGACAAGAAATAGAGTGCTGCAGGAGGCTATTTTAAATGGGTCATTGAGGTAAGTCCCTCTTAAAAGGCTACATATAGCAGGCACCTGAAGAGAGTAAAGTGTGAGCCCTGAAAATATCAGAGTAAAGACCATTCCGAGCCCTGACAGCAAAGATTCTGGTTTTGAAAAGCAGCAAAGAGGCCACTGGACAACAATGAGCAAGCAGGAGGGCGCTGGGAGGTGAAGTTGGAGAAATAGCTGAAAGGCCCCTCGCTGCCCTCCATTTTTTTTTAGCAGTGCTGGGGATTGCACTGCCTTGCACTGAGCTCCCCCCACCCCACTTTAAAGAGAGGGTCTTGCTCAGTTGCTCAAGCTGGCCTCAAATTTGGGATCCTCCTGCCTCAGCCTCACAAGTTTTAGGATTCCAGGTGTTCACCACAAAAGGCAGATCATTTAAGACACATATTCTATACGGGTATTTTTTAATGGAATACTGATGTGATCTGATTGATGGCTTAAAAAGTCCAGTCTGGGTATCATGATACAGAGTCAGGGAGAACTATTAGGAAGGTGTTACAGTAGTCATGGATTAGGCGAGGTTGGTAACACTGGAAGTTGTGAAAGATGGTGGTATTTGAGAGATATGGTGGCCCCTCACAAACAACTCGGGTTAACTAGGTTAACGGAGGATTCCTCTGCCTCTTGTTATCTATAGCGTGTACCCAGGTAAACATCCAGATCTCAGCTGTATTGGCTTATAGCCAACTTGAGTTACAACCAGTCCTTGGGAGCTGATCGAGTTGTATATCAAGAGTCTGTGTATTTTGAATATAGAGCCAACACTGCCTAATATTAGACGGGAGAAGTGAGAGAAAAAGAGGAATTGACAAGGTTATTTCCGAGTTGTTAAGATTCTCCATGTTTCCCCTGTTTTACTGTATTTTTCTCCTTATTCCTCCATTTAATTGTGGGTGCTACAGTCAGACGATGAGAGTGCTTTCTACTCATACCTGTAGTGGGATTCTTAGCAGGTTTCGGAGTGAATGCCCTAGGCCCGCCAATAGGTGCATTCTTACTGCTTTTTCAGTTCCTGCCCTCCACTGGGTCCCAAGGCCAATACAACGTTCTTTAGACTTTTCTTAAAGCAGCAACCCACCCCGAGATGCCAATTTCTTAATCAGCAGGTGGTTATTATGTAACTTATCTCCTGTTAGGATTTGAATGTGTCCCCCAAAAGTTCTTGAGTTCAGGGATTCAGTCCCTGAAGTCTTATGTTGGTGGTATTTGGGACGGGACTTTGGGAAAGAATGTGAGTTGGAGGTGAGGCTCCAGGATGGTTAGAGGCTCTCTGAGAACAGTAGCCTGAGCTCACAGCCCCTCGCTCTTCTGTGATGCCCTCTCGTGCATTACGGTGCAGCAAGAGGATCTCACTAGGTATCATCCTTCCCGGCCTCCAGAACTGTGAGCTGGGTAAGCTTCTGTTATTTATAAATTACCCAGTGTGTAGTATTCTGTTATAGCAACAGAAAATGGGTTCTCTGAAATTCAGTAGATTAAAACGGGGTGGTTGTGGGCAGCTGTGCCAACCCGAGCCTGCACAAGCACCAACAGTCAGTCACTGGCCTGCAGCTGACTGTTCTAGGATGGCCTCACTTCAGATCAGATCACAGGCTGGCTGACTCTTGGCTGGTTTGACAAAGCAACTGAGCCACTGTCCCTGACCATCCATGTGGCTATTCTGGTATTGTTCTTATGGTGGCCGGGCAGGGCCTAAGACAAGGAAGTGTGTTCCACACTCTGTGGAAAGGCACACCTCAAACTAGAGGCGATTCTCCTGCCTCAGCATCCCAAGTGCTGGGATCACTGTTGTGAGCCACTACACCTTTATTTGGTTTCCTGAGACAGTCACACCATGTAGTTTAGGGTGGCCTTGAACTCACTGTGTAGCCCAGGCTGGTCTCAAACTCACTGTGACCCTCCTGCCTCGTTCTCTTGCATGCTGGGATTATAGATGTGTGCCACCATGCCTGGTGGTGCCTATTCTTTTAAAGTTGTTGAGGTGTTTTGTGGTTGAGCGTGTCTTTTGATGTCTATATCTGCCTGTGTATTGGGCACATATCTAGGAATTTCAGTCACAAAGCATGTGTATATTCAGCTCTAATAGATATCAACAAGCAATTTTCCAAAGTGGCTGTCATAATTACACCCCCACCAGTAGTGCCTAAGAGTTCCACGTTCCGTAGCTTTGCCTTTGCTTGGCATTGTTGGTGCTGAAATTTGTAGCCATTTCAGTGTATGTGCAATAGTATATTATGTTCATTTGCATTTCTCTGATGACTCAAAGAATTAAGCAGTTTTTCATATACTTAATGGCTATTCTTCCTTGGTAAAGTGCTGTATTTATTAATTACTTAGTTTTCTTACTGCATTGTAGAAATTCTTGGTATTTGAGATATATATCAAATAAAAAAAAAATCTGTATTTGCAGTACTGGAAATTGAACCCAATGCCTTTGCATTGAGCTACATCCCCAGACCTTTTAAAGTTTTTATTTTAGACAAGGTTTCTCAGTAAGTCACTAAGTTGCCCAGGATGGGCTTCAATTTGTGATCTTCCTGCCTCAGCCTTCCAGACCGCTAGGGTTACAGGCCCGTGCCACTACATTTATCTCTTAGTGAGTGAGTGAGTGTGTGTGTGTGTGTG